AAGTGGTAGAGCGCTAGCCTTGAGCTGAAGAGCTGAGGGACAGTGCCCAGGCCCAGAGTTCAGGCCCCATGACCGGACTCCCCCCCCCAAAAAAAGACTTCCTTCTTCAGTACCTCCATCTTATTTATCTTCCTCATTTTCTCATCCTTTACACCAAACTAATCTACAGCCAGCCCATATTCCTTGTTCTAACATATCTAAGGGTACCAGTATCCCAACTTACTCTCTATAGACTCCTTGAGATTGTTAACTACTCAGAAGACCTGTTTTACAACTTATTTTTTGCAGTGCTAGAGATTAAATGAAGGGCCTTGAGGATGCTAGTTAAGAACTCTGAGTTATATCACCATCTCCAATTTTATACTGAAGTTTATAAAACAATTCTTAGCCCTTACATTGATGGAAACCCTAATATTTTCTATTGTTTCAAAAACAGCAATTAGCCAGGCACCAGTGGCTCACATCTATAATCCTACCTACTCAGGAGGGCTGAGATCTCATAGTCAGAAAGTGCAGAAGTCCCTGTGAGACTCTTAGCTCCAAATAACCACTCAAAACCCAGAAGTGGTGCTATGTATGGCTCAAATGATAGAGCACTACCGTTGAGCACAAAAAGAGGCTCAGGCATAGCACCCAGGCCCTGAGTTCAAGGCCCGCAATTGACAAAAAAAAAGGAAGAAAAAATTAGAACAAGCATCCATAAGGACAGTAAATAAATTTATTTCATCTCTGGTTAAATACAGATTTATTTTATGTCTTGATCCAAAATACCTAACAAATTGTATGGCACACAAGAGACATTCAAGTATTCACTAAATTAACCCAAATATGAATGCCAGGTTAATGGAGTATTTTACAGTTACTTTACTAACATAAGGGCAAAAATTAAACCTGTTTGCTTGGTTATACAGTGATCAAAATTGATTTCTGCACTAGGAAATATATCAGAGGCACAGTGTGCTTGCCTAGTACGGGTAAAGCTATGGGACTAATCCTTAGTTACTATTAAAAAAATGGAATGCCAACCTCTGCAGTCTCTAGCAATAAATTATTTGCTTCTGTCCTGAAATACTGTTATTTCTAGTCTAGGGAAGTACCAGACTGTGACCTAAAATGTCCAACATCTAAGGCCAACTTACAATTATAGGCTGGAGACATAATTCAAACACTCAAAAGAATTAGGACATAATCAGTTAACAATCACCACCTGTAAAGTAAAAGTGATTTTTATTTCTGTACTAAAAATGATAATGAATATTACTATGGCTTAATGCCCCAATTTCTCTTCCTATTTACTCCCCAGCTCATAATGCAACTGGTTTTGCTGTCAAGCACTTCCTACCACTGTCATACAGAAAGTCCACCACTGGAACCTACCCGACTATGTACAAAACCTTTAAAAAACTGGGTAAACATCTTTACAAGCTGATCAGCTTTTATGTATGGGGCCTAAACCCTGAGCTTGGGCCCTGTCCATGAGATCTCTTTTCTCAAGGCTAGTACTCTACCATTTTGAGCCACAGCACCACTTCCAGTTTTTAAGTGGTTAACTGGATATAGAGTCTCATGGGAAATTTTTTTTTTGTCGGTCATAGGGCTTGAACTCTGGGCCTAAATGCTGTCCCTCAGCTCTTCAGCTCAAGGCTAGTGCTCTACCACTTGAGCCACAGCACCACTTCGGGTTTTTTAAGTGGTTTATTGGAGATAACAGTCTCACGGACTTTCCTGCTGGAGATGGCTTTGAACTGTGATTCTCAGATCTCAGCCTCCTGAGTAGCTAAGATTACAGGCATGAGCCACCGGCACAGAGCTTCATGGGAATTTTTTTTGCCCACACTGGCTTCAAACTATGATCCTAAGGACTCAGCCTCCTGACTAGCAAGGAATACAGGTGTAAGCCATTGGTACCCAGCAGCTAAGTTAATAATCTCTAATACAAACTGGGACACGGTGAAACTTTCAGCATTTATCTAGCATGCGCAGGAACCCAAGTTTGATACTTAGCACCTCAAAAAAGAAAAAAAATTTCAGTAGAAAGAGGAATGGAACCAGGAACTGGAGGCATGACTCAAGTGATAGTAGCCATGCAGGAAAAAGCCAAACTAAAGTGGGAGGCCTTGCGTTAAAGCCCCAGTACCAGCACAAAAACTACCAAAGCTATAAAAGCAATATCTAGCTGGGCACTGGTGGCTTACACCTGTAATCCTAGTTACTCAAGTGGCTGAGATCTGGGGATTGCAGTTCAACAAAGCCAGCTCAGGCAGGAAAGTCCTTAAGACTCTTATCTCCAATTAACCACCAGAAAACCCGAAGTAGCTCTGTGGCTCAATGTGACAGAGAATTAGCCTTAGCAAAAAGAGCTCAGAGAGAGTACCCAGGCCCCAAGTTCAAGCCCCACAACCAACAAACATACATATATACATACAACATGCACATATACACACAAAATCAACATCAATATTTAAGAAACAGTAAGAAAAATAAGTGCCAGTGGCTCATGCCTCTAATCCTAGCTACTTAGGAGGGTGAGATCTGAGGATCAAGGTTCAAAGCCAACCTGGGCAAGAAATTCCAGAAGTAGAGGTATGTCCCAAGTGGTAGAACATACTTGAGGGAAAAAAATAGCTAAGTCCTGAATTCAAACCCCAGTACTGGCACATGCATGCACCTACATGCAAATATACATGTGCGCAAACACACAAAGCAGCATCAATGATCTAATAAAAATACAGCCGGGCACTGGTAGCTCATGCCTGTAATCCTAGCTCCTCAAGAGGCTGAGATCTGAGGGTCACGGCCTGGGCCCAGGCAGGAAAGTCCAGGCAGGAAAGTCTGTGAGACTCTTATCTCCAATAAACCACTAGAAAATCGGAAGTGGCACTGTCGCTCAAGTGGTAGAGCGCTCACCTTGAGCTGAAGAGCAAAGGGACAGCGCCCAAGCCCAGAGTTCAAGCCCCACGACCAAAAAAAAATACAAAGTCAGCTGGGCGCCAGTGGCTCATGCCTGTAATCCTAGCTACTCAGGAGGCTGAGATCTGAGGATCACGGTTCAAAGCCAACCGGAGCAGGAAAGTCTGTGCGACTCTTATCTCTAATAAACCATTTAGAAAACCAGAAGTGGTATTGTGGCTCAAGTGGTAGAGTACTACTAGCCTTGAGCTGAAAAGCTCAGGGACAGCATCCAGGCCCAGAGTTCAAGCCCCACGACTGACAAAAAATAAGTGAATAAATAAATAAGTAAATAAAAATACAAAGTCAGATGTCAGTCACTCAAGCCTATAATCCTGAGTGAAAACTGAGATCTGGGAATCACCATCCAAAGCTAGCCAAGGCATGAAAGTCCTTGAGACTCTTATCTCCAATTAACCACAAAAATGCTAGCAGTAGAGCTATAGCTCAAATGGTAGAGTGGTGGTATCCTTGAGCAAGAGGTCAAAGATAGTACCTAGACTCAGAGTTCACACCTCAGTACCAGAACCAAAACGTGCACAAACTCACACACACACACAAGCACACGCACACAGGTTGATGTACTATGAATGTATGAAAAAAAAGCTTGTTAAAATTGTTTTAGAAAGAATAAGGGAGGGCTGGGAAGGTGGCTCAGTGGTAGAGTGCTTGCCTTGCATGCATGAGGCCCTGGGTTCAATTCCTCAGCACCACATAAGCAGGAAAAAAAAAGTCGCAAGTGGCACTGTGGCTCAAGTGGTAGAGTGCTAGCCTTGAGCTGAAGGGCTGAGAGACAGCACCTAGGCCCAGAGTTCAGGCCCCAGCCCAAAAAAAAAAATAAGGGAGCGCTGGGAAGGCTCAGTGGTTGAGTGCTTGCCTTGCATGCATGAGGCCCTGGGTTCGATTCCTCAGCACCACATAAGCAGAAAAAAAAAACAGAAGTGGCTCTGTGGTTCAAGTGGTAGAGTGCTAGCCTTGAACTGAAATGCTGAGGAACAGCGCCCAGGCCCACAGTTCCACCCTGACGATCAACAACAACAAAAAAGAATAA